AGGAAAATATGCCTTCCAAGACAAGAATTTTAGGAATGAGAAAGTGATTATTTTTGCATGTTTTAACACAAATTTCTGACTCATGTATAATTGATATTTGATGAACTTCATCTATCCGTTCTTAATTTAGATATAGATTTATTTCGTAGTGTTTAAGCATGTAATGGTGTTTGCCCATTAATACTTGATTTGTAAATGTTAGTACCTTTTCTGGTACTGAAAAGAATGTGGACTTGGCAGTGAGGCCGAAGAAGAAGAATCCCTTCAAATTTACGGCATCTAGTCCAATGCTGTACGTAATATAAGCACCATTACAACTTATAAATTAAATGATGATGATGTGGAAGAAGTATGGGTGGCTGTTCATATAGGGGGAAATTGAAGCAGAAGGGAAGCAATGTGAAGTTGAGAATAAAAATTAAGTTAAATTTAAGGGTTTTTTTTGCTCTGTTAGATATTCAGGAAAGTACTTAAGGGAATTGCTTTATATAAAATCAAAACTAAAAACTGAATATAAAATGTAGGAAGTAGGAAAGTTTTTTCTTTTTTTTTGTTAATGCACGCTCACTGCTAATTTCAAACCAACCAGAAAGCCCAGGAAAATAATTTTTAGAGAAGATGGAGGAAAATGATCCAGAAATATAGCCAGTTCCATGCCCTATTCATTTAATTCATTCATTTGTTATGCTGATAAAACATAAGAAGGTGTATATGTCAAGTATTGCATCTGTATATTTGTGTGTATTTTAAAAAATACATAGAAAGCATAGATAAAGGATTAGGGAAGAGAGTTCTCTGTAAGATTAATTCTCAAACTTTATTATTGACATGAATGAGAAAATAAAGGAAATAATCCAGAAGGTGAATCAGAATTCCAGAGAAAAAGACAGATTCTGTATCTCATGGTTGAGAAAGGGTGAGGTCATTATGAAAGGCCAGAGAGGTTGCCCTTGGATAGAGTATTTTGTAGTTGGATTATTATATTTTTGATAAATTTAAGCAGTGTACCTTTTTCCACATTCTGAAAATATATTAGAAGTCAATTGTAATTAAGCAAATATGAAGTCACCTGGAAAATTCAATGTTTGAGTTCTAAATTGATTAAAATGTGATATGTGACAATAATTAGATGTATT